ATAAGTGTTTCCTCCAATTCACTCAAACCAAGGCTCTGATACCAACTTGTAGCATCTATAAAAAATCAGGCCAAATTTAAACTTTTTCAAAACATTTCAAAACCATTAATCATTACAAATCTTGTTTTCAAAATAGTATAGTGTTAGAGTATTCCAAAATCAATACATAAGAACATAAAATATGAGGAGTTGTACGATCACGCATTCGCGTTTCCGCGATCATCAGAGGTACTTGAAACATAATAAACAATTGTAAGCCCGAAGCTTAGTGAGTTTCCCCAAAATACCAATGGCATACAAATATAACCATATCATATAACGTATATGCAAACAACATGCATAATGAACCATCAGTATGACTGGACCGACTCCCAATCCTTAGTTTATCTGGACCGCTCTCCGAGCCCTCAGCACGTCTGGACCGCCCTCCTCAGGGCCTTCAGCCTATCCGGATGCTCGCTGGGCCTTCGGCCTGACTAGATTTTCCTGGCCTGGTCCTATTGTCTACCCGGTCAGCCCAGGGTGTCTTGGCCTACTACACACAACAGGACCTGCCTCAACCCTTTCCCCCCAAAACCAACGAACATGTACACATACATAAAAATAAATAATCATGCAGATCTAACAGATCACTAATCATGGCAACCATCTTATAACCAGGATACTGATCTAACCAATCTCTAACATAGCAACCATCACATAACCATGATACTGATCTAATCAATCACTAGCATAGCAGACATCCTACAACCATGATACATATCATAAAGCATAACGTGCAATGAACCCATATACAAATCCGAAAAGGGCCGGTATTGGTGCCTTCAACCTTGTTAGTATAGTGAGGACAACTCACCTTGCAAGTGTCGAATCGAAGTGATAAACTCAAACTCTTGAACCACGACCACAAACTCCACCACCTATATTTACCATAAGGCCATTTCCATAAATTTCGAATTTACCAAAAAACCCCAGAAGTCAACTAGTCAACCATTGGTCAAAGTCTAGGTAAATGGTCAAGGTCAACAGTCCATGTTGACCCGACTCTTCGAGTGTAGTTCACCGACTCGTCGAGTCCTTCCTGAACTCGAGCAGTCGTGAAATCCCCAGTTAACTCGTCGATTTTCCCTGAAACTCGAGGAGTTCATGCATGTCCAAATGTCGGGAAAACCTTAGCTGACTCGCCGAGTCATCCTACTAACTCATCGAGTCCATGCAGAAATCCTTGCATGACAATCTTCATCGGACTTGCTCAGTTGGCCATGCAACTTGTCGAGTCCCTTTAGTCATTTCTCCATTCAGATGCTTTTTAAGCCACTCCAACGCTCCATATTGCAGATCTAAGCTCTTAAGGCATATTTCTTACGTAAAGTTACAAACTTTACGTACATGCAAGGTGATAATGGCCTAAATCAAGCTAAATGAATGTTCTAAGGGATGAAGAAGGTATTAACTCACTAAAGGTTGAAACTTTATGATCTTACAGACCAAGATAAGCCTAGATCTGAAGTTGCAACTTCAAATCACGCCTAATACCCAAAATAACATATCAACATTGCCAAAGTGGCCCTAATCTCATACATGCATAGATCTAGATAGAAGAAGGTCAAGGTACCTCAAAAACGATGCTAAGATGAAGAAGAGCTCGGATCTACAACCTTCTTCTTGTTCCAAGCTTGAGTACTTCAATATCTTCCTTCCACAATCCACCATAAGGTTTAATATCACACAAAAAGAGAGAAAAATGGCGATTTAGGGTTCCTGGACTCTCAAGGGACTGTAGGGGAGGCTAATGACCCTTTAAATAGGGTGCAAAATCCCGAAAATTAGGGTTTCATCCTCCAGCTCCAACTCTTCGAGTCATGTCTCCGACTCGGTGAGTTGGTCATTTAAACACGTGGCCCCAAACGTTCCTACTCGACGAGTCAGGGCATCCAACTCGTCGAGTAGACCTTTTAATATAAAGAAAATAAAGCTGTAAAATTAATACATGAGAGTCGGGGCGTTACACAAACCCTAATTTTTAGGGTTTAGCACTATTTAAACATCTTTATGAGCTCAAGGCTCTTTCATTTCTCAGCCTCCATTGCCTTCTAGCCTCATTTCGGAAACCCTAATCTCATTTTGACTGTTTGAGAGATTTAAGGGTTCTTTTTGGTGTGTTCTTGCTCATTTTCAAGAAAAGGTTGCTTGGTGCTAGCTTGTGGTTCAAAGGAGGACGTTTAGATCCAGACTTTTGACATTATTTCTAGCTCATTCAAGGTATAGAGTTCTCATCTTGACTTCTTATTGTTAAGTTTGAGTTTAGAGCAAGATTAAGGATTTTTTATGGTGTATTAAGTTCTCCTTGTGAGTTTGAGCCACTCCATGAGTTTGGAGTGATAGATCTTGCCTCTTCTGATGTTTATAGTTCATAAAAATGCTTGCTTGATGTTTAATGTCACACCCCTGAACCAGAATGGCGGAAACATCCGGGGGTTTGGGTGACTTCATCTTGTAATATTATCAAAATGTAATAATTGAATCAAAACAACATCATCATCACACATACAATAATACAACCATCATCGTTTACATAAGTGTGTGTTGGATTACAAATTACATTCCAAATAAATAAGTGTATGATGATAACAAAAATACAACAAATCCATGTATTCTTGGTGACCAACCCACTTAATGATTTCCAGAGAATACAAGTTATTTTAAAAACGTCAACATATATAATGTTGGTGAGTTCATAAGCATGTTTGTATGAAAAGTTTTGTATCACTTTGTAAACACCAAAAAATCCGATATTTTCTATAAAAATGGTTTGAAAGTTTTGTGTCAAATCTTGTATTAAAGTATGTGTGTTTCTGTTTTGAAAATGTATAAAGAGAGTATTCCAGAAAATCCTATATTTTCTGTTGTAAGTAGAAGGTAATGTATAATGTAAGTTTCCCAGAAAATCCGATATTTTCTGCTTGTAAAAGTATTGTGGTCTTAAAACCCTAAGACCCGAGTGTCCTAGAAATGAATAGCTCGTACGTGTGTTAAAAGTATCGTATATGTGTTCCGTAAATCTGTACAGTGTTTGTTAATTTCTATTTGAGTCGTTATAACCATGCTTGATATGACTGATCTGCCTATCATGACGTTTTTCAGGTGTTGACTTGTTTAAGGTAAAACATTTATCACCCTAGACTGGCCTAGTCTAACTGTAGCGAACAACTCGGGTGCGGAGCTGTCAACCCCATATAAATCTATACACAAACTCTCGCTCTCCCTCTAGGAGACTCTGATTATAACTACAGGACTTAAGGTTGTACGCTGGGCATGTACGAATGAAAGAACGTCTCACAAGAATCTTAACTAAATTTACGTGAATAATGTATCACATTGTTTACCGTTTTAAAAATAATGTGTTCGAGTTTGCATTTGATCACAAAACATTGGTGATGAAAATACCATCTGTTTTTATCAAAGTGTCAAGTATTGTTTGTTATTGGCCCGATTAACATAAAATATGATGTGATGCCCAATAAGAAAATCAATGGGCCTATAAGGCTCAAATAACATGAAATGAGTGTACAAGGTCCAATAAGCATATAAATGGGTCATTAAGGCCCAATAAACATGAAATGTGTATACGAGGCCCAATTAAAGAATAAATGGGCCTATAAGGCCCAAGTAACACGTAATGAGTGAAAATGACTTAATTAGTCCGTTTGATATTATAATACATTGTTTTAGCTTAGTTAATATCAAGATGACATAAAATGCCTACTTTTTATTGAAATTGGCAATCTTGGCCCATTAAGCCGAGAATTTAGATTATAAGTCCATTTTTGATAAAAATGACACTTTAGGCCCATTAAGATCGAAAGTTTACATTTAAGGGCCCATTTTGAATAAAATGACATTTTTAGCCCATTTTTGTTAGAAATAATATTTTCGGCTGAAATATATTGGAAATGACATTTTAAGTCCATAAAGGCCAAAATTTACATTTTAGGCCCATGAAAACCAAGATTATCTAATTAAGGCCCATTTTTATGAAAGTTGACCATTTTAGCCCATTACAACCATGAGGGCCCAAATAGAAGCCCATTTTGTGAAAATTAACACTTTTGGCCCCTTTAAAACCATGAATATCATAAAGATCCATTTTTATCTAAAAATGACTCTTTTGGTCCTCTCAAAACCGTGAGTTAACATAAAGGCTTCACTTTTTGTTTATTTGTCAAATATGCCCCCTATATGGTTTTATTTAGTTTTCGAGTATTTCTTAACATGTTTGATCCTTTCAACTTCATAATAAGTGGTTTAGTTTACAAACATCACCAAGTATTAGTAGATATATTGAGTTTTATGAAGTTTTAACATGTTTTCATAACATAATCACAACATATAACATGAAAACACATACATACATGCATAGATACTTAGATCTAATACAAAAGCAACTTGTATCTCCCCAAAAAACATAGTAAAACCAAAAACAAGGGGATATGAACTCACCTTGGGTGATGGATTCAGTTTTGAAGAAGAGAAGGAGGTGTTTTCGGTCTAGCTTGTTCCCTTGATGAGATTTTCGGACTTATGAAGTTCTAAGAAGCAAGAAGAACGAAATGTATCGAATTAGGTTTAAAGCTTCACGAGTGAGTTTTGATTCGAATTGTCGTTGTTGAGTGAATATATTGCATTGTATCAACATTAGGGTTACAATGTATGCTACAAGTTAAATACACATGGATAAAATTTCCTAGCCCTAACATGCTAGTTGTGACATTTAAGAATGGTCCATGCATGTTCTAGTTGGATTATGTTGGGTATTAATGGATTAAGTGGGTTGTTGGGTCCCATTGAGTCATGTAAATGCATAAAGGTGCCGAATTTATGCATTAAGAGATTTTTTGGAAGATCTTCTGAGGATTTGATACAAGGACTTAACAGACTAAGTCGTCATTTGGATTTTGGAAAAGTTTCGGTTATGCCTCGCATAGCTAAAGGTACGCCTAATGTACCAAGCTAATTTCGTGATCTGGATTCCTCGAGTACGCCCCGCGTTTGCTATGGAGTTAGGCTTGGTATGAGTTTGGGCTTCACACTGTTAGGCCACTTCATTGGACTTGCTGTTTGGGCTTTTGGGCCATCTGAGATTTATTGTCGGTTAAGGAATTATTTGGGCTTTATAATAAGGCTCATACGGGATTGGGCCTAATTTGGAAAATTGGGCCTTTAGTAGGCTTTTTAGATCTTGTAGTTTTTGGGCCTTTTGGCTTTGGGCTTGGGCCTCAGTTTTGGTCCACGTTGGGTTAGGGGTAAAATTATCATTTTATCCCAAGTAAGGATTATAGATCATAGTTTGGAACCAAATTTCTAATTGGGCATCATTTTGGTGTTGATAACTTGGAAATTCGTTAGGGCAGCAACCAGGGATTTCTTTCAGCGAGCTTTTGCAGTCGAAGTGAGTTTCCTCACTATATTTTGCGGGTCGAAGGCACCAATGTCGGCTCATGGTTTGTTATGAAGAGTGCTAGATGTTTACGTGACTCTTGCATGTGTATGTGTTTGTATGCTTACTAGGTGGAGCCTGATGGTTATTCTGTATGCTAGTATCAGGTTATGCATATATGATTTGTATGTGGGCAGGGACCGATGATTGTGAAGTATGCTACTATCTTTTTGATTTTCACATATGTTTAAATGTTATATGATTATATGGTTATATGTTTATTGGGCGGGGCCCATTATGCGAGTGAGGGTGAGTCCCGTATCTCATTGGGCGGGGCTCGTTATGCGATTGTGGGCGAGGCCCGTATCTCATTTGGGCGGGGTCCGTTATGCGAGTGTGGGCAGGGCTCGCATATCATTTAGGCGGGTCCCGTTATATGATATGTATGGTATGTCGTAGTTTGGGGCACTCAGTAAGCTTTTTGCTTACAGTTTGTGGTTTATGGTTTCAAGTACTTCCGGTTCGTAAGGGACGGACCTGACTTGATTGCAATGCACACACCTATGTTTTTCCGCAACTTATGATTTTGGGATTTAATCTGATAATTATTAATTTGGAATACCTTAATGGTTGGATAAATGTAAATGGATGTTTGAATTTGTATATATTAAAAACAAAATTTTTACCCTTGATTTTCGGGATGTTACAGCAGTTGAAAGTGGGGACAGAAGACAATGACTTCTCTATTGCCATCACCGGAGAAAGGAGGAGCGGCTCACATGGTCTTGCTGGAGGGTTAGGTTTTTTGTGGTTGTTAGTAGTGATGAGAAAGATGGAGATGAAAGAAACTAGGAAAGGGAAAGGGAAGAGGGTGGGGGGGGGGGTTCGATGGAGATATTTAATTATTATTTATTTTAATCTTAAAATAATTAACAAATAAAAGAAAAATAAAAAAGAAATTATTAAGGAAAAAATAGTCTTTTTATATATGGAGGGATGAAACATGCAATTTTTAACTAAACAGGAAACGATTCGAGTTAATTTTAAAAAATAAAGACTGAATGTTCTTTTTGACAAAATAAAGAATGAATGTTTTTTTTGACACACGATTCGCGTAATTTACTCTTAATGTAATTTACTGATTTAGCCATAAGATTTTCTTTTCCTACATATTTTTTTTCAATCTATCCAGACGTGTTTGTTTTGAACTGATTCCGTAGAAATTTGAAAGAATACGAAAAAAATTATAAAAAAAAATGTTTGGCTAAAAAATCATTTTAATAGATTTCTATTAAATTTAGTTAGACTTTGTAATTAAATGAAGTATCGTCCCTTGTGATAAACCCACAAATTAAACGAATCTTTCCTTAACAGTGAATATATACCCAAAGAATTGAAGATTCATTCCGTATATATCACCAATTAAAAACAAAAAACAAAAAAAACAAAATTAACCTCATACATAAACCTTTTATATAACATAAGCTTCTTTCAGATTGTCGCGCATTGCTTTAATTTCTTTGCCTCAACTCAACTTTGATATTGGTCGAATCAGGTATCATCGCCTCATTGCCAGGAAAGACATTTACACATCTGTTTTTTACTTTTATCAAATTCTCAGGTCTCAACAATTCTTGTTTTCTTGAATATTGCCTCATGACCATTTATTGTTTTAGAACCAAAACCCCATGGCCATGGCGATGACAAACCTTTTGTTGAAACCCCCGTCGATGATCATTGCCCCAAAACACAAACACACTCAACAGCCTCCTCTTTTTCGCTTTGAAAGGTGTTCTGTATATACTCCGCCAACATCCTCCTTCAAGATTCCTCGTCTTCATCTTTCTTTGACGCGTCCTGCAATTCCCATATCTGATATCTCTGGTCCTTAAGGTCAACTGGAATAATATTTATTTATTTTTTTCATATGCTGCATGCATGCATCTCGTAATTACTCTATTTTTCCGATTTTCCTCATATCCAGGAACGTATAAAGGGTTTTGGTGGCAACATAAACTGCGCTGATTTTTGGGGCCCTTTGTCGCGTTGATATGATGTGGTGCAAACGGATGAAAAGGTTCGTGGAGTGCACTTTTATTGTTAAATTATTCTTTCTTGCATGAAATTAGGTTTTCGCTCTTCCTCAACATTCATAAAACTCAAAATTGTACTCTCTTACAAGTCAAGTGAAAGGACTTGGTTTTGAATTCCAAAAGGGGCAAACGGTAGTAATACATTATACTATCTTTTCACTTTTGATGGTTGCATTATTTAACCTTTTCACTTTTGCTCAATGGCACAGAAGACCCTGTTTTTCACCTTTTTCCGTTTTGACACAACATTTTCCAATTTTTGTTCTGAAGATATTATGTGCATTTTTTTTCAAATTTGAACTATTTTGACATCACATTTTCCAACTCGACATGGCAAACCGGGTAATGGTCAAAATTGAACAAAATTGGAAAAAAAATATGTTCAGTTTAAAACAAAATATAATGCAATTTCAACATCGAAAAATAAAGCATTGTGTCTTTTGTCATTTGTCCTTCCAAAAACCAAAAGGAACAGTGTTGATTTTAGACATTCATCATAACTACAATTTGTAAAAGTTAAATGTTTGAACTTCTAGAATCAAAACTGATTATCTGCAACATCTTTGAAGTTACTAGGTCAATTGGTAGCCAAAGAAGTCAAAACTGTCAATTCAGTTGCAGAGACCAAAGGAAAAAAAGATGGTATGCAACTTTTGTACTTGTTTTCCCTTCAGGAGTTTTCATTCTTGAGTTACATTGCATTACATTACAGACAAGCAGGAGGCAAAAAGAAAAAGTCATAAAACAAGAAGGATGTCTGGTGGTGGTGGTGGTGGTAATCTAAGTCCAAAGGTATACGCGATTATAGTGGGAGCTTCTTTTTGTGTGGTTGTAGCAATTTTCTGTATTGTCATACCAAAACAACAAGCATCACGTTGCATAGTTGTCCCTTATTCTGATCTTGTTGATAGCATTGATGATGGTAGTGTGATACATGTTCGATTTGTGGAAGACTCCAAACAATTCTATTATAACACCAAATCATCAAATGAAACCCCACAAACTAAATCAGGTGGGCCACAAGGACTTTTGAATGCTTTTGTACCCACGTGGCAGTATAATACTACAAGGCTGGGGGACGATGTAGTTCAGCTTATTAAGGTGCTCAAAGATAAGAAAATCACATACAGCTCAGGCTCTGTCAACAAATGACTCCTTGTATGTAATGTTAAAGTCATCCGCTAGATGGATCGGGCTCTTTGTTTATTATTATCAGTTTTACCTTCACTTTCTACAAAATATTGGAAAAATGAGAAAGAGAGAACCGAGTAAGAAACTTTTCGTAACTTTCGATGACGTGGAAGGAGCTATGATGCTGCCAAAGCTGAACTTCTCGAGATAATTTACTAATTTGCACTTGCTTTATTAATTATTATAACTTGGGATTAATCCCGATTCCTACATGTTGAACTTTTGTACGTAGATTGTCTCATGCATTAAAAAAGATAGTAAATATATGAATCTTGGGGCGAAACTACCACGAGGGGTTCTGCTTACGGGTCCCACGGGAACCGGAAAAACATTGTTGGCCCGGGCGGTGGCCGGAGAAGCTGACGTGGCGTTTTTCTCGATTTCCGCTAGTGAATTGGTGGAGGTTTATGTCGGGACCGGGGCTGCCCGTGTTCGAGAGCTTTGCGGGAGGCAAGAAAACGTTCGCCTTCTATTATTTTCATTGATGAGATAGATGCTGTTGGAGGAGAACGTGGAAGCAGTTCGAATAGTGAACGTGACCAAACTTTGAACCAGGTAAAAATATAACCTTCCTTTTTCATTTATTGGCCATGGTCATGGTCAAAGTCAAACAAATAGTTGTTGAAATAAAATGTGGTGTTTTAATGTCATGTGTTAAGCTTTTGACTGAGATGGATGGGTTTGAGAAGAGTTCAAATGTGGTGGTTATAGCTGCTACAAACAGACCCGAGTCACTGGATTCTGCTTTGATGAGACCGGGTCGGTTTTCCAGAAAAGTGGTTGTGGGTGAACCGGATGAAGATGGAAGACGAAATATTTTTGGTTTATATATGGAAGAGGTGCCCATAAAGGAGGAGGACAAAGATGACATTTGTGACCTTGTTGCTTCACTTACACCCGGGTTAGTAGGGGCTGATCTTGAAAATATAGCTAATGAATCCATACTTCTTGCTGCTCGTAGAGGTTTGTTTGTGCTAAAACTTAACATTTTTGTAAGTGTATAGACATAGCGATGTGTTGATTATGTTTTGGGTATGTTGTTAGATTGTGATTTTGTGACCAAGGAGGATGTTCTTCAAGCTGTTGAGAGGGCCACAACTAGAGGCAGAGGCAGACCCATAAACAAATATCAGAAGTTGTACAATTTTTTCTTGGAGGCTACACGCCTACACTTACGTTAAATAAAAAGATTTTGAAAAGAAGTTACACTTCATCGGAAAATTCGAAGGGTTGCCCGAGTACAACCAATATTTGTAATGACATCGGAAAGGGTGCATTTAATTCCATGGTGGATCCGTGGGATTTAAATTTTAAACTAATTAACTAGGATTCATTCAAGATGGCTCATTCGATTTTGGTTTTATTAGATTTTGTGTTTCTTGAACGTATGTACATTTTTTGGCACAGTGGAGATAGGTTGTCGACAGTATGTGTTAGACTAAATCTAACCAAAATGACTAAAATGATTGTATATGGGGTCAGCTCCAAAAATAAACAAATTTTGGATTTGATTACTTCAAGATTTTGGAAAAAAGCCTCAATTAGTGGAAGACTCGAATCATATAAAATGGAAATTATATCAATAAATTTTCCTAACTAGTATTATTAACCATTACTTTACGAATTTGACACTTTTTTTTTTTTTTTTTTTTTTTTTTAAATCTTTTTTTTATTCCAAACGGATATATATATATATATATATATATATATATATATATATATATATATATATATATATATATATATATATATATATATATATATATATATATATATATATATACATATATATATATTAAGCCTCAATTAGTGGAAGACTTGAATCATATAAAATGGAAATTATATCAATAAATTTTCCTAACAAGTATTATTAACCATTACTTTTCGAATTTGACACCTTCTTGGCTGTTTTTTTTTATTTATTTTTTATTCCAAACGGATATATATATATATATATATATATATATATATATATATATATATATATATATATATATATATATATATATATATATATATATATATATATATAGATAGGTTATAGGTTAAAAAATGGTAGAATGTTTGAGTATTTATAGGTTAAGAAAATGGAAAGAATATATATATATATATATATATATATATATATATATATATATATATATATATATATATATTCTTTCCATTTTCTTAACCTATAAATACTCAAACATTCTACCATTTTTTAACCTATAACCTATATTTTTCTCCACAAAATGTCATCATCTTCATCATCCGATTCGACGGCTGGAAGAGGCTAAGTTTATCGGTTCCATCATGGCAAAAACGGTTGCATACTATCAAAACCGATTAGGTGAAACATCACGTGCACGATCTAACCTAAGAAAACCGCCGTTGCGTAGAAATCATGAAGCTGGACACGATCGCCTTATAGAAGATTATTTTGTAGATGATGTCATCTACGCTGTAAAGTTTCGACGTCGGTTCCGGATGAGGAAGGAACTATTCTTACGTATTGTTGGCGATTTGGAAGGTTGCTTTCCATATTTCCGATGGAAAATGGAATGAAGGCGGAAAAAATGTTTCTCCCTCATTCAAAAATGCACGGCTTCAATTCGTCAGCTAGCATACGGCATGGGCGCAGACAAATGAGACGAATATTTTAGGATGTCAGAGCGTACCATGCGAGAGTGTGTGTACAAGTTCTGCAAAGCGATCCGTTTGGTTTATGGGCAACGATATTTGCGCAAACCAACTATCAATGATATCCACCAATTGTACGCGGTGCATAAATGCAAGCATGGATTCCCTGGAATGCTAGGTAGTATCGATTGCATGCTTTGGAGTTGGTCATTATGCCCCAACGCTTGGCGTGGTCAGTACATGCGAGGCGACCACAAAGAGCCGACGATCATTCTAGAGGCTATCGCATCACATGATCTTTGGATATGTCATGCATTCTTTGGTCCAACTGGTGCAAACAATGACATCAATGTGCTAGACCAGTCGCCGATATTCAACGATATCTACATTAGAAAGTCGCACGATGTACCTTTTGAAGCAAATGGGGTAGCATATAAGCGTGGATACTATCTTACTGATGGTATATATCCTCCCTTGTCTGTTTTTGTGAAATCGTTTACATGTCCTAATGAAACGAAAAGGAAAAAGTTTAAAGAGGCGCAAGAGTCAGCTAGGAATGATGTGGAGCAAACATTTGGTGTACTCAAGAGACATTGGCAAGTACTAACGGTCGGGGCAAGGTCATATGAGGTGAAAAAGTTACAACACGTAATGTATGCATGTATCATATTGCATAATATGATTCTTGAAGACGAAAGAAGAGCGATATGCTGATACAACGAAAATGAAGTTTTGCCAAATGTCGAAGGAGTAGCCGTTGGTACACAAGAGTATAGGGTGAATAAAAGAGAATTACACAATCGCGACATTCATCACGCCCTTCGTGCTAATTTGGTGGAGTACATTTATAGGGCTCATATTTAGCCCCCATTAACGTTTTGTCACGATGATTTGTTTGACGAATCAGACGAAGATTCTGATATGTTCGTCGAGAGTGAAGATTCCAACGACGAGAATGACACTGGGGAGAATGATGCAGACGATCCAGGCGATGACGAGGACGATGAGGCCGATGACGAAGACAACGATTCCGAGTGACGTATTTTGGTTTAAATAAATTAGGATATTAGTTATGTTTTCTATGTTGTGGGTTGTTTGATTTTTTTTTTTTTTTTTTTTTTTTTTTTTTTTTTTTTTGCATTTTTTTCTACTTATTTAAATATCAGGTTTAATGTAATTTTTATTTTATTGATGAAATGCTTTTTATTTTTAATTAAATTTTATGTTTGATATTAATTTAAAAATTATAAATCATAAAAAAATTAATTGTATTTAATAAAAAAAAGTTAGGGAAGTGTGAGGGAAAAATAAAAAATTAATTTTATTTTTCCCACCAATTCCTTGGCTTTTTTTTTTTTGAATTGGCAAATCTAATCTACTCCTAAGCTAAAAACACCTATTCCACATATGTCCACAACGAGATTTGAACCCTCGACCTCAAAGAGGGAGGACACCACCTGATACCGCTGGACTACAAGCATTTTGGTGGCTTTTAGGTGAGACACAGGAAAGTGAGAGAAAAGAGGTATGACTCACAAAAAGTGAGGGAAACTTCATTCCCACACCCTCTAGTCTAAATAATAGGTTTATTTATACTTATTCATCAAAACAGAAAAATAGCATCATACTGCTTAGACCGGAAGGAATGGAAGGGAAGCTTCCTTCACTCTTTGTGGGTCATACCCTCCTTTCCCTCACCTAAAACCCAAGGAATGGGTGAGAAACCCTTCCCCACTCTTTCTTTTATTAAATAAAAATAAATTTTTTTGTTGTAAATTATAATTTTTAAATTAATACTAAACATAAAATTTAATTAAAAATAAAAAGCATTTCATTAATTAAAATAAAACTTACATTAAACCTAAAATTTATAAAACTAGAAAATTTAAAACACACACACACACACATAAAGTAAAAATCAAACAAACCAACAACGACCTATGAAAAATATTTTTTCAGAATTTTTTCCCTCTTCTTCATGACGAGCTCGAGAGCCGGTCCCGAGAGATGATCGACGTTTTCTATCAAAAACTTCATGTCCTCCATTTCTTGTCTTTCCGCCCGCTCATTTTTTCCTTGTTTCTTCTTTTTCTTTGTCGAAAGCCAAACGTTCGGAGAAATTTAGATTATATCGATCAAACGACGATGTTATCTTCCACATTTCGTCAATATCCATGCTGAAATCAGATGCACTCGAAGAAGTCCATTTTCCTTTTCTCTTCGCTTTCTCCCTTCCCATCGGACGGATAATTTCTTCTAGCTCGAGTTCGTCGTCCTGATTTAAATCTAGACCGACCCGAGCATTGGAGGAGAGTGTGTAACCACTAGAGCCTGTTTCGTCCGCTTTGATTGTTGGACTCCAAAAATAAAATCTTGCTCGTATTTTTTCCATCTAGGACTTTAGACCAATAATTTCTAACAATCGTCCCACTTGAATGGTTTTCCGACTTCCTCAAGGTAAAATTGCAACGCTTCTTGAAGTATTTGTTCGTCGCCTTGGCCGTTTTTTCATTGGGTTTTTAGTTTGTTGTACAACCCATTTATTTTTGAAACCCCCTTTGCTATTTCTTGAAACTTCGAATTAAGTTGATGTTTCGTACGGTAGTCGTCACCTTTTTCTAGCTCCTCTCGAAATCGTTCTAAAATGCGAAACCAAAAATGGTCTCCCGGTTGTGTGTTTCCGTGAATCGAATCTTCAGAAATGTCAACCCAAGCTTTGACCAAAACTAGCTCTTCGTGTGGAAGCCATGTTGTCAACTTTTGTCTTCCCGGTTGCGTGACACCCTCGCATGCTTGTTTTTCCCTTTTACATCTTTGTAGGGGTTGTGTTGGTTAAGTTTCGGGAACCATGTCTTCTTCTTCCGTGTCATTCGACTCATCGATAAGTTGGTGTTGTTGTTGGGTTTGGGTTTGGGTTTGAGTTTGAGTTTGTGGTTGAGGTTGATTTAGCGATTGTTGATCCGGAAACACAACAAACTTTGAAAACATTTGCGGGGGAACATTTGGAACTTGCATCGGGTAATAGTCCAACATTTTGGTATTGAAATTGTAGTGGGGATTGAATTGGAGCATCGATTTGGGGCGGTAAACTCCTTGCGGGGATGAATCGATAGCAAAAATGTTTCGAGAAGGGATGTTTATACTCGAACCATGGCTTTTTATTCCTTCGATCGGAAGTTGAAGTTTGATTGTCGGGATTATTTTTTTTAGAAGAAAATAAAGAGAAAAGAGGGTAGTGTGAATATTGTTTGATGTTAAATATGTATGTATTTATAGGTGTGGAAAAAGGTTAAAAAAAAAAGAGTTAGCCATTGCAGCCAAATTTTTTTTTTACTTTTTACGGTTTAATTTCAAAAAAGAAAAGAAAAATTACAACCAATCGCAGCAAGAGAGAGAGAGAGAGAGAGAGAGAGAGAGAGAGAGAGAGAGAGAGAGAGGGAGAGGCTCCCCTCTCCGTTTCCCGCACCTCCCTTCCCCGCACCGATGGTGCGGTGTTCCGCCGGGTGGAAAGGTTCCCGTAGGGCTTCCCCGCTCCCACTCCGTCCGACCTTAGACCAGAAAGAGTGGGAGGGAAGCTTCCCTCACTTTTTGTTAGCCATACCCTCATTTCCCTTACTTTTCTTTCCCTCATCTAAAACCTAAGGAATGGGTGGGAAGCCCTTCCCTCACTTTTTTTTTTAATTAAAATTATTTTTTTGTTATGAATTATAATTTTTAAATTAATACTAAACATAAAATTTAATTAAAAATAAAAAGCATTTCATTAATTAAAATAAAACTTACATTAAACCTAAAATTTAAAAAACTAGAAAAAAAAACATACACACAAACTAAAAATGAAACAAACCAACA